AAAACTTCCGCCTGCGACGTCCCAGTGAGAGTTGCAGCAATGCTACTTCGCTGCATTGTACTGAATGTATCTCGACTCTTCGCCGTCGATGGCGATGAAGGTTGTGAGTTTGTCGGTGGCGCACAGAGTCTTGCACCCGATGTGCCACCCTCCGAAGTCTCCATCATCGGCAAGCGCATGCAATGCTCGGGTACGGCGTGCTCCTCAAACATAGTCGGAAAATACTTGGCCAGCAAAGGCTTGTACGCTACGAGGCAAGCGCAGATGATGCCAACGTTCGCTTCGACGATGGACCAGATGATCGCTTGGACGCCGGACTCTGTCAACGCTATCAGTGAACACATCTGCACACTGAGCGGACCATTGCTTACCAACAAAGTTGCCACGCTTCGCCTCTGTCCATACGGTCGCCAACCTCACAACGCTTACAAGGCAGACGAAGAACCCCAGCAGAAAGACTGCAACAAGGCAGATCTTTTGCCTCCTCGGGAGACGCAGCCTAGTAACACCGGGCAAAGGAAGTATCAGCACCAGGAAGTCAAGTCCGATATTGATCCCAGCAGCCGACAACCAATAAGCCTCCGCATTCAAGCAGCTACCCGGTAAGTCGGGATGCCACAGCTTCGCCACCGGCTTGCACAGGAAGGTCCCGCCAAAGACTGCCCAAGCGACAGCTGGCACCAGCAAAGCCATCAAGATCCAGCAGCAAGTTCGAGTCACCCGATCACTAAAGATTCGTAGGTACTGCACCAGAATAGACGCTTTAGTGGCGTTGACAGCTAGAGCCCAGATATCGTTGTTCGTGACTGCCAGCTTAGCAAGATGCGAATGGTCAATCATCCTGCTATTGGAGTAGACGCCCATGCCTTCGTGTAGCTCGGCGCCAATGATGGCGCACATGCACCATGTTAAGACCTGTATCTCGTATGTCAGCTTGCGAAAACATTCCAACTGGCATGCATCGGAAGTACCATTGAAAACAAGATCACCACATCATCCCTCCCCAAACACCGACTGATCCTCCATCTCGTGTACCACCTCAACGCCACCGCTATCGTGGCGAGCGCAGTGCAGGCTATAGCCGGTCCTAACGCTTGCCAGCCGATTTCCCGCGTGCCGAAGTTGACATTCTGAGGCGAGGGCGCGAGAGCGGCGGTAGTGTTGCTGCTTGCGTCTCTTGCATGAACGATCGCCATGTCATGCAGTAGTACCGCCATAGAGAGAGAGCAAACGGTTCAACGCGAGAAGCTGAGGTGCAAAGGAGGGCAGCCATGTCAAGCGGAGTGCGGCAGGCAGTCGATGCGGCGACGTGAGGGCAAGCAGTGATGGTCATGAGGGGTGGAGAGGGGTGCGTGACTGTGCTGGGGACTCGAACACTTACTCGGTATCTGGGAATGCTTGTACGGGGTGTGGCTAGTCACAATGGTCTGGTGTACTATTATCGTAGTCCTGAGTGGTCGAAGTGTCGACAGACTTCGAAACGCTCCATACTCCATGCAGAAGGGATACAAAGGCCAGGCCTCGTTCTTTTGCGACAGAACGTCATCAGATGTAGTCGACGTTGTCGGAAGCGGTCAGATACAGTGTTGGACATGATCACAGGGAATAGCACCCTTGTGAATCTCAGTGCAGCTTTTGAGTAAGACCTGATCAGACTGCACTGCTCAGCGAGGTGACGTATGGCGCGAGACGCTTGCTGCCGTCGTCTGCGCAGAACCCGGGTGGGAAGGTATGATTCGCTTACTGGCCCGGAGCAACACTGTGTCGGATTCGTGGCGAGCGACCGTTTGCTGACTCCCTCTTGGTAAGGCCAAGCTACAGTCGGCTCTACACTTCTCTCACGGATCCCACAACAGGACTGCTTGCCGTCGATCCACCGCCTCCGAATCCAAGTCCAGCGACTCTCCTAGCGATCTCCCCACCAACCGCGTCAACAGCGCCTTTCGGCCGTCGCAGACTGACACCCCCATCAGCCCGTCGCTCGACCAAGAAAAGCTTCACATGCGTGCCAGCCCACAAGCCATTACTGCCCGGATTGTTGAGCCCATCAGCAGCATATATGAAGCCCCAGAGCATGCTCAGATACCAACCGAGGGCAAGTGGCGACCAGTGAAAGTGCTGTACCTTCGGCGGAGCAGGTAAATCCGTCAGAGGAGAGCTCAATGAGGCTGCCGGTAGTGTTGGTATTGAAGTCGTGGAAGAGAAAGGTCGTCGACGCAGAGTCGGGTCCCTATCGTGCTCAGCGGCAATCACTGTGAGGATGGTGTGAAGAGGAAGATGAGGGAGCCACGTTTCTAGCCATCCGGGCGTGGGCGTGAATGTGGACGGCATACCGCTGCTGAGAGTGGTAGGCGTCGCAGGAGTCATGCTTGCCAGACTTGTAGTCGAGGCATTACGGGATGTCTCGCGTGAAAAGCTGCCTTGGCCAACCGGCAGCTTTCCCCTTGCTTTCTCGGACATCGATCTCGATTGCACAGGTACCGCATCGTCAACACTGCTTGCTCTTGAGCCCCGGACATGACTTTGAGGAGCCGTCGGTCGCGTCATGTCGTCATCATCGTCGTCTTCATCTTCCCCGATCGTAAAAGCACTGTGCTCGGGCACGTTGCCAAGTGATGTCTGGCGTGAATTTCCATTCGGACTTCGAGCGCCGTCCACCGAAGGGCGGTCTGTTGACACACGGCGTAATGGGCTCATGATGCCGCTGTTGCGACCCTTCCGCTCCTGAGCCATGCGGTCAACTTCAGCCAACGCGCCATTCACGGTAAAGTCTCGTAGCGCCTCGAAGCGCTGATGACTTCGGGCAATGATCTCGACGAACCGTCTATTCGACTCGTACTGATGCTCTAGTATAGCATTGAGAGACTCGAGAAGTGATGACAACATTTTGTGATTTTCACCCCCCGACAGCAGAAATGTCGGTGATGCTAATGAAAGGAAGAGGTCTAGAAGCTTCGAACTCGTGGCGCGTTGGAGATCCCGGACGTACGGCGCAATGTTACCAATGATCGCCAATAGTGCAGGGTAGACAGTTTCAAGTCGGCCCTTGGTAGTGGTCATGAGAGTGTGCACGCTAGTAATGAGATAGTCTGCGTAGGTGCCGTGGAAATTCGGGATGCGAAGGACTGCCGGTAACGACTCTTGCCCGCTGAATGACTTATTGAGCCGGATGCCAAAAGTTGACTCGACAGTCAATGTCTGGAGGATCAAGATGGCCATACGAATGATGCCTTGCCGTGCAATGTCGTCCTTTGCATCCATCGCGTAGTATAGCACAAGAACGAAGAAATCGTGAGCCCGATCCGTATCAATTATGAAGCTCCGAAACCGCTTGTTGCACTGTAGCAGCTCCCACGACAAGACAAGCATCTCCGGCGCCCACGGGACAGCTTTCGACGCTGTAGGGACATACGATGCCACACCCAATATCGGTTGCGATAGTACGACAGTGAGGCCCTGTTGTATGAATTGAAAGTCCTCGACGCGGTGCAAACGGCCGAGTGCCTTTCGAAATGCGTTTGGCTCGTCTCCGGGTACTGGGTAGATGATGAGGATCGTAAGTAGCTGTAGCGAGTACGTGACAAGCAGTTGCTTCGGATCCTTCGTTATGGCCGACAGGTCTAGTGGCACTCGCCATGATGCTGGATTGTACTTGAGCACCTGCGACCACAGTCAGCTGATCAATCTCCCCACGGACGACTGGCTTCGTCGTTTACAGGCGGCCCGCATCTTCGATCGACTTACTGTATTGAGTAATGAGCAAAGTAGGCTCAGGACTACCTGTCGACTGCTTTGTGTTGTGAGATATGTCAAGGCTTTGACGTCTGCCTGCGCTGCAACGTCTGTAGATCTGTCAGCGCAAATTCTTACGTCGACGTGCAAAAGTGCGGCCCGCCACTTACTCGGCATGATGTACATCGCTCGACTACATATCGCCAACAGTAGTCTCAATACCTCCATAGCATTCCTCTCGTTCTCTTTGCTCATACCCACGCTCTGCTTACACCCAATCCCACTCTGCCAGATACTGTAAGTGACAGCATTATCCGCTCGTCCATTCTCATCGCCCCGTCTCGGCAGCGTGAATCCAAGTAAGAACAATGCATTGACGAGCAGATCCAGTAGCTCCTCCCCCAGCGGTCTCCCGAGACTGCTCTCCTCACTCGCGTGGGGTAACGCTTTCCCAGGGTTCAGCCCATCGAACGGCGGTCCACGTCGATTGTACTTCCCATCCCACACCCAGCTCGCTCTCCCCTGCTGCCAGAAGAACGAGTCCTCCCACGCTCTCAACCCCTCAACTTCCCACAGGTAAGGCAGCAGCCTCGTCAACACCCTGACACAATTCAATAGCTCCCTGCCGTCCTCTTCGCCTTCTACCTTTCCCCCTTCCACTCCATCCCTTAGTCGCCTTACGACAGCATATATCAGGCTTTCCGCGTTCTTCTGCGGTGCCGGACTATCAGGACTGCAGTGAGCGTCGAAGGCCGTGAGAGCACGGAGATCAGTTGGAGACCAGAGCGCGAACACGTCAGAATCGGACTCGGGAAGAGTGTAGAAGCGAGACCACCAAGGATCAGTTGGTGAGATGTCTGGCGTGCCAGAGAGGCGGAAGATGTCTTCTTTGAAGGCTAGTTTGCTTTCCGAGGCGCCCATGGTGGCTGTAGATGAGGGAGCATGCCCTTGAGTCGTAAGATTATAGCATACTCGGATGCTATCTCACAATCAGTTGGTACCACAATATTCGTTGGGTTGTTTGTTATTGAGTATAAGGTTTCAGTCGATGTTGCCAGTAGGTTGACACATGTCAGCGAGGTACGCGATGCAGGGTCTCTTAGTCAGGCGGGGATAAACAAAAAGGTACGGCCCGCTGCGACCACGCATCATTTGCATAACAGGAGAACGGGAGAGTGGGGAGGAGAGCATCCCGAGTTGCAAGTACATACATGGAGCCGCGAGCACGAATTAGGCTCCCTATACCATATCAAAACTACAAAACAGGAGGGCTCCATCGGGATTCGAACCCGAGGCCTGTCACAATCAAGACTCAATCCCAAAGCGACAATCATACCACTAGACCATAGAGCCAATATGAGCCGGTGAAAAATTACCGTTTATAATTTCAGCAACTACGACCTAGCCTTCCAGAAACGGTATGACTCATGCAGTCACGCCGTGAGCCTTGGATAGCTCATCATAGTGTAGCTATCAACGCCAACACTATCAACTAGAGTACCGCTGACTGTCATGTCCCTATCTCATGTGGCCATCTCCGACAGACCCGAGAGCAAACACCTCCCTATGCAAAGCAAACCCCAGAACACCTTGCTAAGTCCACCAACCTCCCACTGCCTCACCCCCACTTCTTCGCCTCCATCCCATCCGGCGGCGAGGTTTCCACCTTCGCCTTGCTAACCTCCTCCCAATTCGTGCTTAGTGCAGTCCCGTTGCTCTCCGTATAGCTCTTCATCATAGCCCTCTGTACCTCCGGCGAACTGCCTTTGAACAGCTTCTTGAAGAAGTGGTTCGCTTCGTCGCCGCCTTCGTAGTCATCGTCATCCTCGATGCCGCCGGACTTGTCTTTCTTGTCGGACTTGCCGAGGTCGTCGGTGATCTTGTCCCAGTTCTTGGGGCCGGATTTGGAGGATGTGGGGTATACTGGGCCGGTCGCTGGGGCGGCGAAGACGGCGCGTTTCGCGAGGTCGGCTTGGGTGGGTGCTGTGGATGGGTCGTCGGCTCGAGCTGTGACTGGCTCGTCGCTTTCGAGCTTCGACCACTTCTGTCCATGAGTAACCTTCGCTAAGATGACCTCGATCTTTGTCGTCAGCACTCGGACAGTCGACTTGTCAGGCTGGACAGCAGCAAACAGTGGGTCGAGCGTGAAGTCGTAGTCGCTGTTGCTGGTAGCGACAGGGAATGAGATGCTCAAAGATCGCTCCAAGATCTCCACTTTCGCGCTCTCCTTCGGCACGCCCTTCGCCAGCAGGGTGAAGTACACGAACTCGTTGTTCTGATACCAGTCATGTCTGATCTTGTCGATCGGCGTCTGCTGTGGTAGTGGGGGCGGCGCTACCACCTGGTATGACACTGATCCATTCCCAGTCTTCCCCGATCCCCCACTCGTGCTGGCTTCCAACATAGGCACCTCCTGCACCGTGACGTTCCCCCTCTCATCCCCTTCCCCCATGGCACTCAACTTGTCCTCCGACTTCTTCAACCACATCGCATGCGTCGACTCCTTCTCCTGCAGCTTATGCACAATACTAAGGACAAACGCAGCATCCGCATAGCGATCCAATCGAAATAATGCTATGCCTCGACGTAGCTGTGCTGTGACAATGAGCTCGCGCTTCTCGCGCTGCTTGGCATATACGACTGCGTGCTCGGCATCGTTCAGTGATTCTTGCAGTCTGCCGGCTTTAAGGAAGGCGGAGGATCGCTCGATGAAGTATTGGGGGGATGTGGGAGATTGTTGGAGGGCTGATGTGTATGCAGCGATAGCCTCGTCGTATTTCTTCTCGTCGGCTAGCTTTTTGCCGCGAGCAAGGTGTTCGGCCATGGTGTGTTGCAGCTGAGTGTAATCGTGAGGTGTATGTACGAAGGACAGTGGAAGTGTTGAAGCTCAGTCAGTAAACGCTGGAAGCCTACAAGTAAAATAGGCTTTCTGGGGTGCAGCAGTGGCGCGAGATGATCCCTGTCAGCGAAGCTTGTGAGAGTCTCGAGTGAAGTCAACGGCTCATATGAACGTACCTGGTCTGTCCAACTGATTGTCGTCGCCCGAAGCATGTCTCGCATGTCAGTGCGGACTTTCCTAGTCCACGCGAAGAAACGACTGAACCAACTCCACTCAATCAACGGAACGACCTCATTCGTTGTCGGCAACGAATCCGCAGATCTCGATTCCATCTCCTCGTCAATTGTCTACGCATACATCCAATCAAGCACAGTAGAAGCTCGAAAATCCAACAGCTTCACCATCCCAGTCACGAACATCCCAGCCGCAGACCTCGGCCTTCGCCCAGAACTCACTGCATTACTTCGCCACGCCTACATCCAACCCGAAGAACTCATAACCCTCGACGACATCTCTCGCGTCTCTCCCCCGCCAGAAACGACGTCATGGACTCTAGTCGACCACAACGCCTTGACTGGAAACCTAGCGCCTTCATTCGCTCCTCAAGTCAATTCCGTAATCGACCATCACGATGATGAGAAAGCCATATCTCCATCCGCCCAGCCACGCATCATCGCCAAATCAGGCAGCTGCGCAAGTCTCGTAGTCAATCACCTCAGACCTACCTGGGATACCATATCTTCCTCTAGCTCAAATATTGGCGCCGCTCTCGGCCAGACTTCCTACCACATCACCGATGACTTCGCATTCACCTCGACCTGGGATGGTCAAGTTGCGTATCTAGCTCTAGGCGCCATCTTGATAGACACGCAGAGCTTGACATCCGAGGATAAGGTCACTGAGCATGATCAGCAAGCAGTGAAGTATCTGGAGGCGCGGATTAACGCTTCGCTGCGTTTGGGGAAGGGGTACGATCGTGACCGTCTCTTTCGGGAGCTGACTGAGGCGAAGATCGATCTAGGGGATTTGAGTGTGCGGGACTGTCTGCGCAAAGACTACAAAGAGTGGACCGAAGGTGACCTCAAGCTAGGTATCAGCTCAGTCGTGAAGTCTGTGGCTTGGTTAGAGAAGAGGGAAGGCGGTCTCGTAGGTGCAATGCGAAAATGGGCGAAGGAGAGAGACTTGGCCATACTGGCTGTGATGACCGCCTTCACCGACGGGGAAGGCGAATTCGCGAGGGAGCTTGTGGTGATGGCTACGGAGAACGGGACGGTGGCTGAGGCAGCTGAGCGGTTCGAGAACGCGTCGAGTCAGGAGCTGCAGTTGAAGGACTCGGAGCTGAAAGCTCAGCGTGATGTCGATGTTGATGTCCCGTACCTACGACAATGGACTCAGGGGAACCTGGCAGCTAGTCGTAAACGAGTAGGACCGCTGCTGAGAGGGGCTATGCGAGGCTGACGAGTGCCGCTACAGGCTATCGCCGCTGTTGCAAGCACTGCGATTCAGCTGAGGCAGATCAGGCGACTCAGTAGCGACGTCCGACATTTACTGGCAGCATAACAGTCCCAAGATGGACACTCTTGATAAGGGCATGTCACTGCCGGGGATGAATGTGTACAGTGAGTGAACCCTCGAGCACCTTCCGTTACATCTCTATCAACGACTGATCAACCCCAGCACCTCATAATCTACACCCAGAATCATATATGAATGCCATCCCCTCAACCTCCATCCCAGAAACGAAACACGAATAAACACACCAGCTCCAAGGCCGTAAGCGCTATGCACCCCCCTTCCGTTCCAGTCCTCCACTCCCACCTCAGTCCATCCGACGCCTCGCTAAACCCTCAACGATGCACGTCCGGAACCTCTTTTCCATTTCGTCCCCAGCGCCACGCTAAGCACACACACCCCAGCGCATTCCAATGGTCCCCCATATGTCGAGTCAGAAGTAATTGTACACAACCCTAGTCCCTCGCGTTCAACACCGCCTTGCTGTATACACCCGGCCGCAACATGTCGATTCGCCGCGGTGCCGGCGACACACGCACAGGCGCTGTGGTGCGTGGGCTCATAGCCTCCGCGTCCTACTGCGGGGACTTACTCGCGCCTGGGCCGCCCTGACCACCACCGTTCCGGCGACTATCGTCGATGCCGAGATTGCCCATGCCAGAGCTGAGGAAGCTGAACGGGTCAGCGCCAGAGTTGTCAGTATTGGCGTAGTTGTTAGCATTGCCGTAGCTACCATTGCTGTAGCCTGGCGCACCGCCAGCAGCCGAGGAAGTGCCTTGATTGAAAGCCTGCTCGGCGCGGGAGTCGAAGCCGCCTTGCTGAGACATGTTGCCGTTGCCGGACATCTGCGAGTAGCCACCTCCTGGCATGTACGGGCTTGGAGCTCCGAGGCCGGAGGGCAGAGCGTAGGTCGAGGGAGGACCGTATGACTGCTGCTGCTGGCCACCGTAGCCGCCTGGCGGACCGCCGTCCATGTGACTACCACCGCCGTATCCGCTGCCCTCCTGGCTCATGCCGCCGTAGGACTGCCCGCCCATGGAGCTGCCCATAGACATGTTGGGAGGCGGACCGTGGCTGTAGTTGTTGCTTGGGAAGTTCGTCATACCGCCCTCCGCGACAATGGCGGCGTTGCTGCGCGAAGCTCCGCAGCGCAAGCAGCTGGTGTTCTTAGCGAAGTTGTGGTACTTGCAGCTTTCGTTGCCGCACTGCCAATCGCCGGCGCGGAACGGCACAGCGCCACCGCGTCCGCCACCACCGCCACCCATGTGACCTCCACCATAGCCTCCTCCGTGCATGTGTCCTCCACCGCTGCCACCCATCATTCCTGGATGACCATAGCCTTGTCCACCTCCGCCGTATGCGTTAGGTGGCATGCCGTAGCTCTGTCCATATGGATCGCCGCCGGGACCAGCGCCCATTGCAGGGAAGGAGCATCTAAAGCATGCTGTGCGACGCTGGAAGTTGCTGAAGCCACAGCTCGGGCAGGTCCAGTCACCTGGGCGAGGGCGGTTCTTTGATGGTGGGAATGGCGTCAACAGGGGTGGCCCACCTGGTGGCTGCGAATGCGCGGCGCGGTCGAGTACGCGAGATGATGATGGCGAAACCTCAATGGCTCTATCATTGAGTGCACGTCCGTTCATGCTGAGCGACTCGGCGGCCTGAAAAAAGATGATGTCAGCCATTGTCGCGTATAAAGTGTGAAAGAGATGTAAGCAAATGAGGGACTGATTGAGCGCGCGCCGCGTCGCGGCGCCCTCAACACTCTGGTACTACGCGTAGGCAACCTGCGCAACCTCAAGTCCTGATGGATCGATGTTGCACCCGGAGTGAAGTGTGACGTAAGCAATGCTCAGCCTTTCCTGCCTTCAGACCACGCACAACGACGGGGAGGAAGGCTGCAGTAAGCTTGCCAATTGCGGAATCGCAGGAGCTAATGCAATAAACAAAAGGATAAGACTCACATCCTCGTGGCTCCCAAAAACCACAAATCCACTCCCACTTG